ATGGAGCACTGGGTGTTATGCACAAACAATGAATCATGGAACACTTCATCTAAAACTAATGATGTAATGTATGGGGATTAACATAAGAATAAAAAAAAAGAAAAAAAAGTAAAAAAAAAGGGACATGTAAATCAAAGCAATAAAATCTCATTTTTCTTTCAATCTTTTTGCAAAAGAAACTGGTTACATCAGGGTTAGTGGTTATGTGGGGAAGTAGACATTCTCATTACACACCCTGTTAGTGAGTATTAGTTTAAGAAAATAATTTGCCCATTTCCGTCAAAATTTAAAACGTGTGTATCCTTCAACCCAATAATTACACTTTCACAAAACTCTCATAGCAAAGTGCCTGTGTGTGCACATTCTTTGCAGCACTTTTAATTAAGGCCAATAAATAGGAAATACTTCCCTTTCCAACAGTAATTTGGAGATTAAATAATTATGGTTTCTCTACACTACATAATATTTTTCAGCCATTTAAAAAAGGATATAGATTAATAGTTTTCAAGTACATGCTATATTTGAACTATCAATAGTATTGATAAGGAAAATCTCACATCATGATAAAGTAAAAAACCTGCTTTGTAATATAATACAGAACAATTCCATTCATGTAAAAAAAATATATTCCATTATATTCTGTAATATAATACAGAACAATTCCATTCATATATATATATATATATCTCCTATATCATGCATGTCAAATGCCCTGATTGGCTACTGGGAGTATTAGGGCCAAGAAAAACATTCTGTGTAATTGTACTTCTAAGACTTTTTTATGGTAAGTACACATCACCTATGTCATTACAGAAATTCAAATTAATTTCATTTCAGTTCACTTAAAAGTCAGCTCCACATGTGTACATGAGGCATGGCCAGTTCTAGACATTGCTTGGGATTTCTTTTGTTTTAATTAATTGGTGAAAGCCACCTATCTATATCTAACAGCATCTTCTGATGACTGATTTAAGCTCTGATTTTTTAAATTCCTCTTTGACAGAACAGCTGTCTCTGAAATGGACAGAACAGCTCCCAGTTCTTTATCTGATCTTGTTTTTCAGTAATGCTCTGCTTTGAAAATAAAGGGGAGTTATGCCTCATCCAGGAAAGCACACTTGAAGATTTTATCCTTTAAACAATGAAAGGAGTGGGGAGCACGTTGAATCATCCAGTCTGCCTTCCCCGTAATCTTCCATCGTTCCTGAGCAATCTGGACACTCCTCCCTGAGGCTGCCAACTGGAGTGTGATTTATTAGCCTTTAGGACTTCATACCATTTTCATGTAACAAGAAAGTCAGGACGCCCGTTGCAGGTCCTCCCATTTTCCCATTGCTCTCGCTTAGCTCAGTCTGCTTCCAGTTTGTCTGTCTGCTTTTCTCCCTCCCTCCCTCTCTGCCATCCTTATCACAAACCTCTAACACCAGGTTCACCCTTGGCTTCTCTCCCAGCTGCCAGCGGTGAGCAGGAAGCTGGAAGCCCACACCCTTCCCAGGCACAGAATGACAGCCCAGGGCAGGGCACGTACCGGCATTTCTAGCTGTGATCTTGGAGCTGTGTCTCAGCAGACGGACAAACACATTGCTGCTACAGTGGTTCACCATTTGCAAGCGGAGGCCCCTCCGAGTCTGGATCTTGACCAAGCATTTTGCCATAGTTGTTCTTCGGATTCCCTCCGTTCTCCTCTGCCTGTCAGGGCCCGGGGCAGCTACCACCAACCATAGTGGCTTTGACCTTTCACTAACTCTCCATTCTGTTTTAAAGGACCGAGGCAGGGCCCTCTCAATGAATCAAATGTCAGGTTCCTAATGCAGCCAACAGAAATAACTCCAGAGGGATCAGCATGGGGTCAGAGGAGGGAGGGGGTGCTATTTTTAAACTCTTCACTCACTCCCCTAACAAACAATGAAATATTATGCATCATCCCTCCCCCAGCCTCTTCTAAATGACTGGATGAGAACCCCCTGCCCCAATGCCTTACACTGTCTCAGAGCCACATGCCCCCAGGGGATAAAACAACAAAGAGGCAACTCCACAAAGGAGAAACACAAGTGCCTGGATTTTGGTTTCAAGAAAAATTTTTTTAATTTAGACTTTATTTTGTTCGAAAGCAGTGCTGCCCAATAAAAATATGATGCAAGCCACATTTAAAAATGAAAGAGACACATTCAAACAGTAAAAATATATTAAAATTAATCATAGTAATGTGTTTTATCTGAAGCCAAGGTATCCAAAATAAGATCATTTTGCTACATAATAATATAGAAATTAATAGTTTTGGTTCTTTTCTAGTACTAACTCTTTGACACTGGTGTGCATTTGCACGCTCAGAGCACACCTCAGTTCAGACCAGCCACATTTCACGTGCTCTGTCCACGCGGGGCTGCCTTACCGGAAGGACGGCATAGCTATGGATGGAGTGCTGAGCTCCTCCCAGTATTCTCTGCATCCTACCAACAACACTAATATTTTTTTCATTTTATAGAGAAGGAAACAAGGCCTGAGAGAGTTAACTGATCTGACCATATTCACAGGAAGTGACAAAGCCCTGATTTGAACCTGGGCTCAAATTAAGATCGGTTTACTCCAAATTGCTCTTGGGCCTGAGCTATTAGTCGCCCCACCTCTCACCAAATGGGTTTTAAATGCAGCAGGCAAACGTTACATCGTAACTCTCAGCACTTTGACAGTCCTGCACTTGGACATCTGCGGTATAAAATGTGCTTGCGGGGCGCCTGGGTGGCTCAGACGGTTAAGCGTCTGCCTTCGGCTCAGGTCATGATCCCAGGGTCCTGGGATCGAGTCCCGCATCGGGCTCCCTGCTAGGCGGGGAGCCTGCTTCTCTCCCTCTGCCTCTGCCTCTCTCTCTGACTTTCATGAATAAATAAATAAATAAGATTTTTTAAATAAATAAAAATAAAATGTGCTTGCACCCCAGTGAGCAGTGCTCAAGGGGTAACGGATTTTCAAGTACATGCTATATTTGAACAAATCTCAACTGATAATATTAACTGTGCCCCACATACTCTTTCTGTTATATTTCTTTGCTGGTACGTTTTTCTCTCATTTTCAGAAAAAAAAAATTTTCTTTCCTCACATACCGACAATATCCTCATGTGTATATGCATTTTTCCACTTCAAGTAGTGACTGTGGCTAAAAGATAATTTTCTAACAAAAATACTCCATTTTTTTTTTTCTTTCCTGACAAAATAGTCGACTCAAATTCTGCATTGTTATATTTCACTGTGGGACTATAAATTGATGGAGCATTTCTGGAAAGAAGTTTAGCAAAATATATTGAGTTTTATAGGTGGGATATTCTTTGACCCAGGAATGCCATTTCTACTGAAGAAATAATTAGAAATATTCGACAAAAGGTTTTGGACAAAGACGTCCATCAGAGTATCATTTATTATAGCCACACAAAAAAATATCTAAATTTCCCATGGGAAAATGATTAAATGCAAGTGATAGGATATGGCTACATCCATTAAGATTTATGTTTAGGAATTTAATGATGCGGGGAAGGGGGAAGCTTGCAATAGATCATTAAGTGAAAAAAGCAGTTTACGTAAGCAATATGACCTCAACCATGTAAAATTATACATTATAGGCCTGAGTATAAATCTTGAAAGGGGAGAAAGGTGGCAACCAGCTGTGCACTGTGAGCTGAGGTCACCTCCAGAGGTCCCCCAAGGGGGCTCTGGCAGCCTCCTCCCTAGGGTACCAGGTCCAGGCACAGTAGGGGGTTAGTCAATTTCTATGGGGGGGCTTAGTGATTAGTCAATTTCCAAACCTGGACATGGAAGGAAACACCCCCTAAAAATTCACCCTTGTGAATCTTTCAACCTTTTGCAGCTCCCCTTGTGATATATATAATTCAGAGCAGAATCCTCACATATAAAATAAGCCACACAGAAGTGAGACCCTGGGATAGAAACTACTAGGCCTTTACTCACTAGGGTGCCAACAGTGGATCTTAAAGAATTGCTGAAAATCTTTAGGATACTGAAGAACAAATGAGAAAATCCCTGTTCTCAATAAATCAATGCTTTGCAGTAACACAGATGAAGGGTTTCAAAAATTCGTGTGGGTTCATTTGCATGGCCAGTGGGCCAGGCTCACATAACAAGAACATCTCCCTTTGCCTATTTGGAGGGAATACAAATAAATCCGTATGCCTATCATTCATTCTATTAATACAACATGTGACCTGATCCGATGGTACACTCTAAACAAACCTTCCCTGTGTCCTGCCCCCCACCCCAGAAAGCAAGTAAGAAACCTGAAACAAAACCACCACCGTACTTTACTTCTGTTCTTTTCCACCAAGAGTTACCTCTCCATTAATTCTCAAACTTCAAATCTCACCATAGTTTTAAAATGTCTCCTCCTTTCATTAACTACAACTAGTCATAATATTTTGCATTTCAGACATTTTTAATTTTTCCCTCTCTTGTATTTGTTCTCACTCTTGATGCTACTTTTCAGAGATCCTAAGTGGATTCTTTAACCCACTTTCTCCTGGAGCACTTCTGCTTTTATAGACAGAGAGAACCTAGTGGGGCTAGCATTCCATATTGTCCCAGCATTTCTCTCGGCCCTGGCCCGACTCTAGACAAAGGCACAGTTGCATTTCAAGAGGGAGCAGCAAAGGGGGGGCAGGTACGCAGAGCCAGCTTGAAGATTCTGCTAGGTACTGCACAGGGAGGATCGTTCTTGGTCAAGGCGTTGTGCTCAGAAGAACGGTATCAACAGCCCAACATTTGGACGCCCTTGAATACCCTTCCCTGGTTAGAGTCATCTGAAGACTCAGGAGTGCATGTCTGGGCAGTGACAAGAGGCTAAAGAAAGCTGAGGATGTGTGAAGAGGGGAATCGATTTTCCATAATGAGATGCCAGAAACACTGAAAAATCAACCAGAAGCCAAAGTGGAGGGAGAAAGGTTCAACGATAAGAGCTGTTCAGGGGCCTGAATTCCATGTCCACTTCTGTGACAAACTTCCTGGCACAGATTTGGCGCAAGGCAACACTCTGGTCTCTGCCTTGAGGGTGACTGGGAGCCCGGGTGCAAGCGTGAAATGGAGACGTACTCCTCTCGTGGTTGTTAGGACCATGAGCTCGTGCATAGCAGCTGCCTAGTGTAGTGCTGGTTCCTGGCTGATGAACTAGAACTTTCTAAGCAGTTGTAGAAAGCAAGGCTTAAAGCACAGGCTCTGGGTTCTAATCCTGACTGGACTGTTTCTTATCTCTGCGCCTCAGTTTCCATGCCTGTAAAATGAGCAAAGGCAGACCTCCCAGTGTTGTGAGGATTAATGAAGTGAATCCATGTGGCAAGCTGCAATCAGTGCCCGACACAGAATTATTCAGGAGGTATTAGTGATCTTTCTTCCCCGTGGGTGCTCATTCCTTTCTCTTCCCAGGGGAAGACCGTGAGGATTTTAAACAATCTGGATTCTCTTCCTTCTGTCCACTATCTTGTCTCTAGCATTTCTGGTTATCTCTCCCCGAACAGCAGGGATGCACTATTGTTGGTTGTTAAGAGTTTACCTGACCATCCTTGTAACTGCGGGAAAGTTACACAAGCTTATTGAAATACATTCGTTTTCAGTCTTGTAAAACAGTAATGATATTGGCACTTACGTAACTGGGTGCCTGGTATGTAGTAGGCACTTAATAAATGCTAACTGGTCTACCCTAGCATCATCAATATCGTGTACTTTTTCTATTTTGATAACAGATTTCACAGGTGTAGTGGATTTGGCCATTAGTTAAAATAGTTGTGGAGATTCACTAAAATTTTAGCTGTTAACTCCAATTAAAAAGATAATTTAAAACATACATTTAAATGTACTTTGTAATAAATTTAGACTTTAAATATCCATAATTAAGAGTCCTTGGGACTATCACATACCATAGAGGACTTTTCTGATATTTTATTGATATAACAATATAATAATGATATAAAATATTTTAATAGTATATTTGTGATAGGATGAGTATATTCTTGGGTGTACAGTGAGGAGAAATGGAGGCACTTCCCAACACTGGAACAGGGCCATTTGGCTAGATAGTCAATCGTCTGTAGAATTCAATTTCCTCATTTGTAAAGCAAGGCAACAGTGTCTGTCCTATCCATTTGGAAGAAATAGTCATGAGTCTCAAACTATGATAACAGACATGAAAAAAACTCTAAACATGTATAAGATGCTTTGGCATATTGGATACTCATACATTTCTTATTCCCTTCATGAGATGAGGCATTTGCTGAGTGTTTCCTGCCTATAAAATGAGAACACTGCTCAGTGGGGCCAGGCATCACCATGTAGGGGTGGGATAAAAGCCAAATAAAAACCCTCTGGAGAATTATAGTTGCAAACAGAACAGAATCCAAACAGCGCAGCTGGGCTCTCCCCAGCACCACTGTGGGGAAAGAGAATACTCTTCGCAGGAACTCCGTGGCTGCAGAGCATTCGAGCATAAGGGCTCATCCATCTGTTTTCCCGGCCGTCTCATACACTGAGAAGCGTGGCATCTCTAAATAGGCAGCTTATGCAAGCCGTGCATGAGGGAGAGGGAGAGAGGCAGGGATGCAGAGCCCTCTGTTGGGGCTGCCGCTGATGATTTCTAAATAAAGGCAGAGAAACCGAGACAGATCAGGGAAGAATCCATCAGATACTGCTCTGCTCTCACTTCCTTTGTTTATCGATATGAAAGATACTGCTACGTTCTGAGCAAGAAAAAGAGGGTCCTGAAATGAAGCTGCAGCAGGGGGCTGAAGAGTGGGGGGCAAACTTCTGCAGTGGAGCGGACTCTGGTAACTGAGTGGGTGAGGGTATGGGGAGGGGTAACAAGGCAAGGCTGGCTTCCAGTCTCTGGCCGGGCAACTGTGTAGATGGTAATGTCACTAACAAGTCAGAGCAGGAGCAGTTTTGAGACTGGGACTTGGGGAAGGACAAGAACATGAGCATAGTTGTAAATCCCTTAAGTTTGATGTGTTGGGTGTGAACTGTTGTGTGGCCCCCAGGCACACGTGGCTAATAAGCCGCTGACCGGTCAGGATAGCAGTGTGGGGCTGAGCGCTCCGTCGGGAGGCTAACACAAGAGAAACAGAGAGGAGGTCAACATCACTCTGGTCAGTGAACACCCTGTACCTAGAATCTCAGTCTCATTATTCCAAGTTCAGTGGTCTGTCCACGTCACTGCCTTGTCTCTCTCCAAACACTAGTGAAGAGCAAGCTTTACTGTCTCTAATATTCTGAAATGTTAATTGATGGGTTTCTCCTTCCACCCAGAATTCCTGAAGGCCTTTTCTTGATCCTCAGCCCAGAGAGCACACCTAACCCATCCATCAATAAGACGATGACTGCGAATACTTTACATTAATTTCCCAAACCATAAATCG